CCAATGAAAACTTACATCTCGTAAAGCCCGTTCAACTTGAGGTTAGAGATACTACCAAAACAAGAATGTATCGTCATGTTTTCCTTGATATTTATACACATAACGACGTGGAAAGAGAATATATGACAAATTTGATAATACTACATTTGCAATTTTCAATTTCCCATTTCGCAACAGTACCATACTTTCTGTCTATGTATGGAATTTACATGTCGCAATTGAGACGTTACCACCATACATGTTTACACTATATGGATTTCATTAACAAGGTATTCTTCTTATATGTCTTATATAACTACGGTTTTAAAATAATCATAATTTGGTTGACCATTGTGATGTCTGTACTAAGGATTAACTGTTTATGAACTTATAAAAGATAAGTGAAAGGTACACATTGGACAAAGGAGAAAACATAATCGCAATTTACAAAACAATAAGATGTACGAATCGCTGCTATTTAAATCAAATTAAGATTCATTGATTTCAACAAAGCAATGTCAAAATTCATAAACGATTAACGTATATGTATTCAATTTGGTACTTATAGAAATGTTCAATACAATAACATTACTCTACATACTCAACGTATCTGAACGTATCTCGGTCTAACGCATTGACGCATCGTTGAAAACACATATCATGTTGAATAGATCACGTAGATGTTATTCAAAAATTCAAAAAATAACCCAATTTGCTATTTTTAATCTTTACGTATTTTGTTATTAAATTCAGGATGATTTTATTGACAACAACCTTTTAAGGGAATAATTAATCCAGTTACCGGTTATCAAATGCACTGATCATTACTTGGTCATTGCCAATTACCGATTTTATTCTGTTATTACGCACTTTTTAAACAAAGTATCTCCCTTTGTCAATCGTAGACAGGTTCTATACCGGACATAATTGGCTTTTGCTCAAACAGAGCATGACAAGCTGAAACATGTGAAATTGAAACATCGGCGTTTTAACAAATGTGTCTTTGGTATCGACAGTATTTAGCTTAATAAAAAAATTAATTGTAATTAAAAGTTTTGAAAACCTTTAAGGTTATACACATAACGCACAGATAAATTTGGTCTTTCCGCTAGCTTCCCATTGTCAAACAAAGTATGTCCCTCCTAAGGGAAACAACTAAAAAGGGATCTATAATTTCATGGTCAATTACGGGAATTGGCAAACAGGCTATTGACCCATATATTCTGTTCTCAAAAGATGAATTTTTTAAACTGTTATAATCAAAATCAATTTTAGCAAAATAAAAGTAATGCAATCTGAAGCGAGATGATATTCTCGTTTTTGATTTATAAGTTATAAAGTAAAAACTATAGTTTCAAACACACCAGAATAAAAATATATTCACGACTTACCCTTTTTTTTTAACAGTTCTATATTTTATTTCAAGATACTGTTGCCAGATGCAAAATACATATCACTGATGTAGTACCTGTTTGATATTATTTTGTCACCTTTCCGTATAATGCATCCGATAGAAAAAAAATATAATTACATTTTACTTATTCAATTCATTTTTTTCTACTTCTTGTTTTTTTAAATGAATGGGTTATACATGTTATTGGAAGAGTATTTTAATTTATGATATATTTAAATATGCATATTCATACTACATATCTAATGAACACGTATACGTATGGTTCAACATCCTGTTGATACTTATATATTTTAGCGTTGCGCAAAGGTGCAATATTCTACAACGTAATGGTAATAACAACATGGAAAATCTTAGCGCGTATTTAGACTGCTTTGCGCACAGAAATCTTATTATATTATTGCATATCTATGTTTCTGATTTATGACACATGCAATTAAATGATTTCGGTGACAATCTATAAATTGTTTATCAATAAAATGGATAACATACTATAAGTTCAGGTACTTTCAAGTAATATATACTATTTGCCTGAAAATTCTTTTGTATTTTGACTCATATAGCAATTTACACTGCCATTCTTGTTAAGCAAGACATCATAGAACAATCCTTTTATCGAGCACACCGTCTTAAATACAACCCTTTTAGGGAATTTGTTATTTAAGTTTATAGATTTTAAAATAAATAGAAAATACTTTGAGAAAGGAATTCAATGTATGCAATAGTTTTTATCTTCATTTCAAACTTTAATCTAGAGACAACTTCTGATCTTGACATAACTTAATTTGTCTGCAACACAACCTTCCAAAACATTTTTACCCCAAACAACTATGCATACATTGATAACGAAAGAAGCAATAACGAAGAAGAAACAGCATTAAAAATATAAAATAATAGAGCGTTCATCTGAAAAAAAAAGTCATTATCAACACTATAACAGATAACTCAAATCGATCTTATTTGTAAGGGATACTTGTTTATACGTGATCAGAAATTCAGTGAAAATTAAGGCGGTAATCTGGGGAACAACGTGGTCAATATGCAATACATGATTTCTTTCATATTTCATAACGTAATTTGTTTTGGATATGAATTAAAATTCAAGTGTATGATTTTAACAGTCTTTGAATACCTAGTTTAAACTTGAGCGACGTATTAAACCAAATTCAATGGTTGGCAATAACAAGTCCCATTCATTCCGTACGTCGAGTTTCGTACATTTATCATTTTATTGGAAATCTCTTATAAGACTTAACACTGAAACGAAAAGGGTTATCGAGTTAAATCAATTCTTACGCTGACATATATTTGACATGAATGATAATATACATATAATACACTCACTCTCAATCTCCTGATTTTAGACACATATTTGTAGTAATAAATTTGAGAATGGAAATGAGGAATATGTCAAAGAGACAACAATCCGACCAAAGAGCGGATAACAGCCAAACTTGCTACTTAAATAATAAAACAAATTAGGCAATGTTTGCAGTTTTTTTTCCTTCATTTTACGCAAGACTGTATGTAAAGGCTAGAATGGGTTACATATAAAAAGTTGGTAACGACAATGAAACAAAAGCCTAACACAAAAAACTGAAAAGACTTAAAGTGGTCATGTATAGCCATAAGCTACATATGTAAAATGTATAGCAGTCATATATTTAATTCATGAATTCATTGAATTTTGACAGAAAGGTTTGCACAGCACATCAGGCGATGGATGCAAGAAGATAACAAATTTGTTGAAACAAGAGCTTCTTGTCATATAGCAAAAGAAGCAAAACGTTTAAATGTTGTTTTTGTTGTTGGAACTGCAGGGAATGGAAAAACATCTATCATAAGGCATGTTGCACTAGATTTTTCGGAAAAAGAAGGATTTGATATTGTGCCCATTGTTCAAGATCCTAGCACAATACGGGAGTTTTATCAACCGGGCCGAAAACAAGTTTTCATAGTAGATGATATAGGTGGAAGAAATAGAATAAATGCACGTTCTTTGAAAGCCTGGTCGGGAGATTTACAGAGTATTCTTACTCTCGTTGAGCACGGTTTTGAGGTCAAGGATGATTGTAATACACAGCATATCAAACATAAAAAAGGGATGACACGTGTTTTGATAACATGTGAAGAAAAAGTTTTCCGAAAAACTGAATTCAAAGACATGCCTTGCCTCCGAACGAACACATGCTTTTTATCAGAATGGAAGTTTAGCATCAACGAAAGAATGAAAATGATACGAAAATACTCATCAGTTGAGTCTGATATTCAAGACGATGACAAAATCGAAGGGTTTCCATTTCCTTTGCTATGTCGCTTATCGAAAGACAAATCGAAGGCTCAAGTAAAAGATTTGTTTGCAAACCCACTGAAACACATTAAGGACGAACTTAAAACTATGCAGCAAAAAGATAGGATTCAATTTTTTCTTTTGACTTTATGTGTTGTGTTTCAAGATGGTTTCCATCAAGTCTTATTTGAATCTGATTATTTTGGAGAGAAACGGAATATCTTTAAGCATTTATGCAAAGAGTTTAATATTAACAGTGATGATGATGTAACCCGAAATCGTATTTTAGAAAAAATGATGATTTTGCAAGACACATACATACAGCTTAACAACGATACATACAGTCTTATTCATGAGAGAATATATGAAATAACAGCTGGCATATGTGGAAGTAGGTTCTACGACTTTTTCATTTCGCATGCAGAATCTGAATTCATTGGTGAACGATATAGGTTTGATTCTGCTAATGACACAAATAAAGATAACTTTATTTCGGTTATAAATAAAAAACAATATTTCAAAAGATTAATAGACGATTTAGGCAGAGGTAACACATATAGCACCTTTCAAAATAAGCAATTAAAAGATTTCTCATATAGGTCCAAATTTATCGAATATTTCAAAGAATGGAAAGCAAAAATTACTGAAATCTTGTCAACATTAGAACAAATAGCCAAAAATAATAATGAGCGAAAACATGAGAACACTTGTTTATATTACCAATACATATCCCCGAAAAACAGAAGTAAACTCCATCCCCTTTTTCAGGCAGCTCATGCCGGCTATATGGACGTTGTTCAAATGTTGTTGAATATGAATTGCAACAAAAATCAAAAAGACAAAGATGGGCGGTCTGTTTTGTTCACAGCTGCTTATTTTGGAAAGTTAGATGTGATCAAAGTTTTGATAAGTGAGGGTGCTGACATAAATATATGCGACGATAGCGGGAGATCCCCTTTATATGCAGCATCCGAAGAAGGATACAGCAACATAGCAAAACTATTAATTGATGAAAAAGCAGATATCAACAAATGTGACACTAACGGAAAGTCACCATTATTTGTGGCTAGTGCAGCTGGCAATACAGATGTTGTTAAGGTTTTACGAACAAACGAAGCCGACCCCTGTCAAACCGACAACACTGGAGCAACACCACTTTTTATTGCTGCGCAAAAAGGGGAGAGGAATGTGATAAAACGTTTATTATATTCTGGATCAAAATCAAACATAGTTAATGATGAAGGATGGTCGATAACTGATAATGATGGACGTTCTCCTTTATTCATTGCATGTCAGGAAGGCCACACAGCCATTGTTGAAATGCTTTTGTGCAAATATGATCTCGCAGTTTGCGATTTTCATGGACAATCGCCATTATTAATAGCTTCTTTATCAGGAAACGAAACAATAGTGCGATTACTGTTGGAGAAAAACGATGACGTTGTAAACCTTTACGATGATAACAAACAGACACCACTATTTGTTGCTTGCGAAAAAGGATACACTGGAATTTCCAAAGCAATTATCAAATACGATGCTAATGTCAATTTATCAAACAGTTCTGGTAGTTCACCACTTTATGTCACTTGCCTTAAAGGACATTATGAAATAGCGAGTATATTGTTAAAACATGGTGCTGGTATCAATCAATTCGACAAGGACAATAGAACACCTTTATACGCTGCTTGTAAAGCTGGAAAAAAAGACATTGTAGAACTGCTGTTAATAAAAGGAGCAGACAAAGACATATGTAATAAATGGGGGGTGTCCGCCTTATTTGTGGCCTGTCGAGAAGGTCATACTAATGTTGTCAACTGTTTATTAGAAAACAATTTCAAGACAACATTATGTGATACCAATAATACTTCGCCACTTCAAAAGGCCTGTGAAGAAGGATTTAAAGATATAGTGGTGTCATTATTAAGACATGACGGAGACATTAACAACACAGACCATAATATTAGAACACCTTTACACTCAGCGTGTGAAAATGGACATGAAGCTATAGTTGAACTATTAATCGATTCAAAAGCAAAATTTATAGCAGACAGTAACGGCATGTACCCATCAGATGTAGCTAGAAAAAATGGACATACAACTATAGCAAATATGTTTAAATAGAAATCTAATCACCGAGTGTGTGCACACAATTTTTCAAATTTGTTGTCATTCTATACTATATACTTTTTATACACTACATGTTCTCAGAAAACCATCTGATTATCATCTCCCACATCTTAAAACGCCGTTTTAGAATGGATGCTTTTATGATAAATCGTAAAATCCGTTTGTATATTCAACACTTCGAACAAAATCTCTTGTTTGCTTTGACGTATTTTCTTGAAATGTTTCAAATCATTATATATAATTATATTTCAAAGAACAAAGCTTTATTGTTTCAACTTGGATTAATATATGACTAATATCGTGTAAAGTGGATATTTTCTAAAATATTGTACACTTTTACTAATCATTGATTTATATTGTTTTCTAATATGTGAGTTACAGATGGGTGCAGTCCTAACATGTACAGCAAGTTAACTTGATAACCAGTCATTTGGACTGGTCAAAGTTAACCTGTGACAGGATTCAGGACTGCTCTGACCAGTCCTAGGACCACAATCTAGTTAACTTGAAAAGCGGACTTGGTCCTAGGACTGTTTTTATGTCTGCCGAAAAAGTTAACTTGTAACTTGGAAACAGGTCCGCTATTGATATAAGTTAACTTCGAAACCAGTTCTACCATAAGTTAACACAAGTTAACTTTGATGTTGACAACTCCGATCGAACCAGACCTGATCTCAAGTTAACTTTTGGTCTGGTCTGCTCAACACTAAGTTAACTTGTAACCAGGACCGCTCTACATCGATTTTTTAAATATTTTTTAATGTCTTTGATTCTTGGTATAAACATAGAAAAATAAAGTCAATTTAATACTTCCGTGATATAAACATGATTAAATACATGTAGCTCCGTGTTGAAGACCGTACTTTGACCTATAATGGAATACTTTTATAAATTTTGACTTGGATGGAGAGTTGTCTCATTGGCACTTATACCACATCTTCTTATATCTATTTGTAAATAAAGTACGCATAAAACTTTGCTTGTTTATATACACATTTATCCGGGATCTGCCTTTCTATATATTAAAAAACCGATAATGGTTACAATGCTAATGAGCTGAAAATACATTCCAATACATATCAAATTCTTTAAATGGTATTAACCATATTTGCACTTAATAATGTAAATCTATATAGCCCCATAGTAAATCAGTAATATTTTATGTCAGGATGTATTGTATATTACAAATGACAGCAAATTTGGAACATAATGTGAATACAAAATTTTGTCCGTATGAATCTAAATTGCCAGCATGTCCTCTTTTTAATCAAAATATTGTCTCGCAACAAAATTTCAGTAGTTTTGATACCTCAGGCTGACTCCTATAACAAAATTATTTGACCGCATCAACCAAAACTGACCATATTTGCACATTTTTTTGTAAATCTATATAGCTGCATAGTAAATCAGCAACTATTTTTATGTCAGGATTTAATGTATAATCATGATAATACAAATGACAGCAATATTGGAACACAACAACTACAATTTTTTGTCTGCATAAATTTAGAGTACCAGCATGTCCTCCTTTTGTTCAATATATTGATGCGTTACAAAATTTCAGTAGTTTTCATACCCCAGGCTGACTTGTATAGCAAAATTTTTTGACCGTATCAACCAAAACTTACCATATTTGCACTTTATCATGTAAATCTATATAGCCGCATGATAATTCAGTAATATTTTATGTCAGGATGTATTGTATATTACAAATGACAGCAAATTTGGAACATAATGTGAATACAAAATTTTGTCCGTATGAATCTAAATTGCCAGCATGTCCTCTTTTTAATCAAAATATTGTCTCGCAACAAAATTTCAGTAGTTTTGATACCTCAGGCTGACTCCTATAACAAAATTATTTGACCCCATCAACCAAAACTGACCATATTTGCACATTTTCTTGTGAATCTATATAGCTGCATAGTAAATCAGTAATATTTTATGTCAGGATGTATTGTATATTACAAATTACAGCAAATTTGGAACATAATGTGAATACAAAATTTTGTCCGTATGAATCTAAATTGCCAGCATGTCCTCTTTTTAATCAAAATATTGTCTCGCAACAAAATTTCAGTAGTTTTGATACCTCAGGCTGACTCCTATAACAAAATTATTTGACCGCATCAACAAAAACTGACCATATTTGCACATTTTTTTGTAAATCTATATAGCTGCATAGTAAATCAGCAACTATTTTTATGTCAGGATTTAATGTATAATCATGATAATACAAATGACAGCAATATTGGAACACAACAACTACAATTTTTTGTCCGCATAAATTTAGAGTACTCGCATGTCCTCCTTTTGTTCAATATATTGATGCGTTACAAAATTTCAGTAGTTTTGATACCCCAAGCTGACTTGTATAGCAAAATTATTTGACCGTATCAACCAAAACTTACCATATTTGCACTTTATCATGTAAATCTATATAGCCGCATGATAATTCAGTAATATTTTATGTCAGGATGTATTGTATATTACAAATGACAGCAAATTTGGAACATAATGTGAATACAAAATTTTGTCCGTATGAATCTAAATTGCCAGCATGTCCTCTTTTTAATCAAAATATTGTCTCGCAACAAAATTTCAGTAGTTTTGATACCTCAGGCTGACTCCTATAACAAAATTATTTGACCGCATCAACAAAAACTGACCATATTTGCACATTTTTTTGTAAATCTATATAGCTGCATAGTAAATCAGCAACTATTTTTATGTCAGGATTTAATGTATAATCATGATAATACAAATGACAGCAATATTGGAACACAACAACTACAATTTTTTGTCCGCATAAATTTAGAGTACTCGCATGTCCTCCTTTTGTTCAATATATTGATGCGTTACAAAATTTCAGTAGTTTTGATACCCCAAGCTGACTTGTATAGCAAAATTATTTGACCGTATCAACCAAAACTTACCATATTTGCACTTTATCATGTAAATCTATATAGCCGCATGATAATTCAGTAATATTTTATGTCAGGATGTATTGTATATTACAAATGACAGCAAATTTGGAACATAATGTGAATACAAAATTTTGTCCGTATGAATCTAAATTGCCAGCATGTCCTCTTTTTAATCAAAATATTGTCTCGCAACAAAATTTCAGTAGTTTTGATACCTCAGGCTGACTCCTATAACAAAATTATTTGACCCCATCAACCAAAACTGACTATATTTGCACATTTGTTTGTAAATCTATATAGCTGCATAGTAAATCAGCAACTATTTTTATTTCAGGATTTAATGTATAATACAAATGACAGCAATATTGGAACACAACAACTACAAATTTTTGTCCGCATAAATTGAGAGTGCCAGCATGTCCTCTTTTTGTTCAATATATTGATACGTAACAAAATTTCAGTAGTTTTGATACCCCAGGCTGACTCATATAGCAAAATCATTTGACCGTATCAACCAAAACTTACCATATTTGCACTTCATCATGTAAATCTATATGGCCGCATGATAATTCAGTAATATTTTATGTCAGGATGTATTGTATAGTACAAATGACAGCAATATTGGAACATAATGTGAATACAAAATTTTGTCCGTATCAATCTTAATTGCCAGCATCTCCTCTTTTTAATCAAAATATTGTCTCGCAACAAAATTTCAGTAGTTTTGATACCTCAGACTGACTCCTTTAACAAAATTATTTGACCGCATGAACCAAAACTGACCATATTTGCACATTTTCTTGTGAATCTATATAGCTGCATAGTTAATCAGCAACTATTTTTATGTCAGGATTTCATGTATAATACAAATGACAGCAATATTGGAACACAACAACTACACATTTTTGTCCGGATAAATTTAGAGTGCCAGCATGTCCTCCTTTTGTTCAATATACATGATATATTGATACGTACCTAAATATCAGTAGTTTTGATAGCCCAGGCTGACTCGTATAGCAAAATTATTTGACTGTATCAACCAAAACTTACCATATTTGCACTTTATCATGTAAATCTATATAGCTGCATGATAATTCAGTAATATTTTATGTCAGGATGTATTTTATAATACAAATGACAGCAATATTGGAACATAAAGTGAATACAAAATGTTGTCCGTATGAATCTTAATTGCCAGCATGTCCTCTTTTTAATCAAGATATTGTCTCGCAACAAAATTTCAGTAGTTTTGATACCTCAGGCTGACTCCTATAACAAAATTATTTGACCCCATCAACCAAAACTGACCATATTTGCACATTTTTTTTGTAAATCTGTATAGCTGCATAGTAAATCAGCAACTATTTTTATGTCAGGATTTAATGTATAATCATGATAATACAAATGACAGCAATATTGGAACACAACAACTACAATTTTTTGTCTGCATACAATTAGAGTACCAGCATGTCCTCCTTTTGTTCAATATATTGATGCGTTACAACATTTCAGTAGTTTTGATACCCCAGGTTGACTTGTATAGCAAAATTATTTGACCGTATCAACCAAAACTCACCATATTTGCACTTTATCATGTAAATCTATATAGCCACATAATAATTCAGTAATATTTTATGTAAGGATGTATTGTATATTACAAATGACAGCAATATTGGAACATAATGTGAATACAAAATTTTGTTCGTATAAATCTAAATTGCCAGCATGTCCTCTTTTTAATCAAAATATTGTCTCGCAACAAAATTTCAGTAGTTTTGATACCTCTGACTGACTCCTATAATAAAATCATTTGATCGCATCAACAAAAACTGACCATATTTGAACTTTATTTTGTAAATCTATATAGCCGCAAAGTAAATCAGCAACTATTTTTATGTCAGGATTTAATGTATAATACAAATGACAGCAATATTGGAACACAACAACTACAAATTTTTGTCCGCATAAATTTTGAGTGCCAGCATGTCTTCCTTTTGTTCAACATACATGATATATTGATAAGTAACTAAATTTCAGTAGTTTTGATACCCCAGGCTGACTTGTATA